ACAGTCGTTTTGGTCTTTTTATACGAATTTCGTATAAGTTACGTTTACTTACAACATAAATATACTAATTTCTATAATAGTAACTTTTGCTTTCTTTAAAAATAATGTTATATTAGAACTTGTGCTCTTCCGTTAATTAAGAAATAACTTGGTTTAAGTAATTTTCGATTTGTTTTATGTAAATAGAAATGAGGTATGTCTTATAAGCAATTTAGCCCGACTATTATTGGGCAGTTGCTTCTTACTAGACACTCTGGAAATATTCAGTACCTATTACTCTAATAACGGTAAAGAAATACATTCCCATTTAAAAAAAAATCTAAAAATTAGCATTTTGACATCTGTGCGACATTTTCGACGTTATATTTTTTAAGCTATGTATTTTTATTAAGCTAAGCTGTCTACTTAGTGGCGCACAGGTTCACAACCTCGCAGCCCCGAAAAACTTTTTATCCATTTATGTACAAATTAGTGGAATTAAGTGCAAAGGATATCACTATAAATATTAATATCGTTTAAATGTACCTTACATTTTTGTTTGTCTATTTCTAAAAACATAGTATCATATTAGCGTACCTTGTCTAAAAACGCAAATAAGTAGTTTATATATTCATATATATTTTTATACCATTACTTATTTGATGCGCAATTTTACGGCGGAATAATTTTCTTCTTTTCAGTGCAAAAACGTTTGGGGCATGAAAGCCAAATCGTGTAAATCCTCAAATACGCTTCGGATGAAATTAAAATTAGAATCGTTCGCCTTTTTTACACATGCTTATGTTAAACATATGCAAATATAGCTAAAGATATTGTTTTAAATCCTATCAGCCTGCAATATATATCTTTAATATAGCCCACATTAAAAATTGTCATTGTTGTAAAAATCTAATTTGATCAGTTAAATAAAGTCGTTGCTTTAATACGTTGTAAAGAGTTCGCCATTGAAAGATGTGTTCACAACCATAGTTAAGTTTACTTGAGATGTTTGGTTTTCTTTGAAGAAGGCGTTAGCAGTCTATGTCGATGCTATAGACCAAAAAGTTTCTATACTCGTGCGTACATAACTTAAATCATTTAAAGTACAAGTGCTTGTAAATCTTATGTATAAAAATGGATTGCTGTTCGTTAAAACTCGAACTTTAAAATATTTGTGGCAGTCCCGGGAAGGTTTAAACGATGATTATTTTCCCATACAAACTGTACCTGTCAACCTGTCAACTATTGTAACCTGTCAAACACTATATGCGTGCGTTCCGATTCCTCTAGATATAATTTATATAGCAAAACAACGTTAGCCGAGTCAGCTAGTTTAAATAAAGTGGTTGTGTCAAAATGAAGTTTTATTATTAATTAGTGGTTAGTAGTCAACAAATCGTTATCTTGACAATGTATAATTAAATAAAACAAATTTTCCGATTTAACGTTTATTTTAGTTCTCAACTCCCGCCGCTTCGAAGCTTCAAACCGACTGCCTCATAATAAAGATTTATGTAACTATTGCTTGCTCAATTCCCCCCCCCCCCCCCCCCCCCCCCCCCCCTTTATTTAAAATTCTTCCCAAAATCAACATCAAAGCCCCGTCTTAGTATAATGATGTGATTATTCTATACAAAAAAATTACATCTTCATCCCAAATCACGAGTTTAAACCCTGTACCACGCATGAGACTTCCTTTATGCTTGTTACGACTCACATACCAAGGTTTTTTAGCCATAGTAGAGCGAGTTGCTTGCTGCATGACAATTTGTTTATTCAACAGCTTATGTAACAGTATATCGCTGGCTAGAATCCTTACTTCCTTACTATCCTTACTAATATTATAAAGGCGAAAGTTTGTATGTATGGATGTTTGTTACTCTTTCACGGAAATACTACTGAATGTATTTTAATGAAACTTCACAATAATATAGCTTATACATCAGAATACATAGGACATAGGCTATAATTGATATACATATTGTATTTATATATGTCTTTCTGTCTGAAGGTTACCCCTTAAGCCTATACGACGCAGACGTAGTCGAGGGCAACAGCTAGTTTTCTATAATGAGTCTTTTGTAACCTAATCGCTTTCAACCTTCTCATTCAACTCATTTTTTAACAATTAAATTCCATATTGGCTTATTTATTGTGTGTGCGGGTAAACGTTTGTCAAAACGGGTAAACGTTTTGTAAATGAGAAACTTTGTTTTTGGTCATCTTTTGAAGATATTCAGTTTATTGCTATCAAGCTAGGTATTCGGTAGTATTCGGTAGGTCCTAGATACTAGCGCGTAAACTGGGTAAATATGTAAATGGCGTTTAGATTTAGCGGTTGGCTTGATAAAAGTTTCACACACTCAACAATTTTTTTTTTATGATCAATGCCCTAAATCGATGAAGAGAGTGGTGTGCCGTCACACAAGGACACACACATCCTATCCATCTAGGACCTACCGAATTATTTTTTAGCTTACGCACATTGTCAACATCATTATAATCTTTATTTTCAATAAAAAGCGTTTAACTTTAAAATTTAATTTACAGTTTCTTTTTGCTTTTTGTTTGTCACATCAATTACTTTTGACCCAGTCAAAACAGGTCAAGCTAAAAAAAAACCGTTTTAAAGCGGTAAGCCTATGGGTACATATAACTCATATAAAACCTTTTAAAATTATTTTAATTTTAAACTGTCCCACAAGTAGATTTTATTCAGTATATTTCATGAAGGGTGAAAATAAATGTCGCCCCTTTCCTACTTGATTGATATTCAACCGGCGGCATCGTTTATGGTAATGCAACCTTCGTGCGAATAAATCTATGTTTACCTTATAGCTGACTCCACGTAGTCTATTAACTACCAGTATTGGATTTTTGTATCAGAACAATCCCCAGCAGGTTAACTTCCGAATTATACGTGCCATGGAATCGTAGCGTCCAAAACTTCTTTAATACTTTCTAAACAATAGTTAGAAGTCTTTACAATCCCTCCAAGGATCCAATGTACTACCTATAATCAAGACCTATTCAGTTTACGTTTTGTTAGCAAGGAACGAACAATTTTCAAAGCTCCCCTAAATCATCTCAATCGTACTGTTCCGTTGTGATCATTAATAACTTTATATCAAATTGCTTGAGCTTTATTACAAAATTATGAAACCTTGCTCAACAATGATATTAAATACAATTATTATTATTTCAGAGGTACACAGGACAATAGCGCACCGAAACTGAAGCACACAAATTACGCCAATTGGTATAATTATATTGCAATTCTATAGACTGCTATCTCTTTCCGTATATATTGCTGTATATATATATTTATATATATACAGCAATTGCTCGTTTAAAGGATAAGATTTTTGTCCAAAATGTACCGATTTCAATAATATACAGAATAAATAAACAGATTTTGTTATGCAGATAATGCAAAGCACTCAGGTATATCGGGATTGGAGTGTGCTCTAAAAAGGACACGGCTGGTATGGTTACTGACATTAATAGCAGAACTTTATGTTGTGGACTACTCGGGGATTTAATTGGACCATTATTATCGCGTCACATTAAACGCGCCCTTGATCTGCTCCCAGTATCCTATTAAGTTGGAAACACACTCGTATATAGCTACGTGTGCACAAATACCGATTTCAATTGAAGTCCTCGTCAAATAAATAAATATTGCGTTATAAAGACTAAACGTGTGTATATGAATATTAATATAATACTTATTATAACGATGATATTGATAACATATCCTTGTCACTTAAAAAACTTATAATCTCTATATATAAAAATGAATCGCTGAATGTGTTGCTAAGCACAAATCTCGATAACAGCTGAACCGATTTCGCTAATTTATATAGATTATAATATTCTTTGAAGTACAAGGATGGTTCTTGTGGAGAAAATTTTAAAAAATTGCCTGAAAAAGTCTAAAAACAACACTCTTCTATATTTCGATACAAAAGATTAGTAAGAATACTGAAGTCAATTTGAACTTTAATACCATACCATAAAGTTTAAGTGTTATTGGAGGGGTTCCGGGAAGGCAAAACAATTGAGCGACAATTAAGACAATTGAGTTAGTATCGTATAAGTATTAATGTCAATATTTCTCTTTTTGTAATAATTTTTACTAGATAGTGATTCAAGAGGAAGGTGCATATGTATGATACATTGCACCCGTGCAAAGCCTGCGCGGGTCACTAGTTTATCATAAAACTCGTTTAGGGTATTTCGTCTGAAAACTTTTATAATAGTTCATTGCATTGGGAACAATAAATTTACTATGTTACTTTTTAAATTGTAAATTTATTAGTTTCAATTAAAATTTGATACAAACTTAAATTTACATCTGACTAGAATTTCGTTTAAAACTTCACGGCGAACTAGGGAGGCGAATGAATGGAAGAATATAGGATTATGTATCATAAACACATAATCCTATATAAAAATTTGTTGCAGTATTGCGCCTGGACAATTTAAAGCTTCATTTCAAAAATACTTATATCATTAAGTTTTTTCAGCACTGTCAGGATCCGAACCCGCGTATTCTTAACATGTGGCCGACGTACTCACATCGCTAAAATCTCGATAACTATCCACTTTACGCATTTTAAGTAATACTCGGGGCCTGGAGAACAACTTTCATTATCGGAATTCGTTCCAGCGTCTTCTGGGTACTTCGCCCAGATACTCTAGCTGTGCTAAGCAGAGAATGTCCTCATAGCGAATCGCGAAAACTATATACTTTTATTTAGCATTTCTAGCAATGCTTGGTCACCCAGTACGCTACTTTACAGTACACACAACACTCTGAAATAACATCAATTACAGTGAATATTTGATCGAGAAATTACGCCTTTACTAGTATAAATGTAGCCTCTGCTAGTTTACGATGATCTTGGGATTATTATCATTGGGAGAAGATTGGGATTATTTTTATTTTAGTACCAATCTTACTTAGATTGGAAAGATAATCCACGACGATGGCATCATTTATATTTAAGTAGGCTTTACCGACTCCTTTGCGATTGTGCATGTTCATCGTCAGCGGTGGCAACGGGGATCGCTACTAAAAAAAACAAAAGTAACAATTTATCTTTATTGTCGTTCTTACAATGCTTTCAGCTCATATAAATAATTTAAGCAATTCGAATAAAAAAAGGAATGTCAAATACAATTTTTTATAAGGCAAGAATTCAACAATCATAGCAGCCTTAATAGAATTTCTAACGAGTTAAGTGGCTAGTAAGTACGTCTTGAAAGTTAATAAACTGAAATTGTAATACTACTATATTATATTTCTCATAGTACCTATTACCATAAACTTACAGTTTTAATAGAACAAAACAAATGATAAACAGCGTTTTTTCATAATTTGTTACGCATAGGAGCGTAGCACGAAAGGTTTACTTATTGTGAAACTTATGTATGTGCTAACTAAGGTCGTAGTACAAAAAAATAGGATTTAATCATTCTGTCCAAGACTCAGTAAACTTAAGTACTTAAATACCAAAGCGAGCCCCGTCTCATTGTGTAAGCCTATATAAGCTTTTGACACATCTGTGTATTATGTCCTTATCAAGCCTCAACAAACGGATTTAGAAACCAAAGGCAGTTGATCATTAGCATATTTTACTTAACCGTCGTATTTTGCTCTTTTAGTGAAACATTTATTGTTAAAGTTTCAATGGTATTATGTTAGTAACAATTCTAATTTTACTTACGAATGTTACACAATCACTAATCATTACCAACTTTCTAATCTGAAGTACTAAGCGTGGGTGTTTTTTTTATTTAGTTCGTGCGAAAGACTTACCATCTCGAACTGGCTTGGCAAGCTAGGTTAAAGGTGGTTAATTTTATTGTGACTTTTCCTGCAAACTGTATCTATTTCTTTCACGTCATAGTAAATCAAAAGATAGTAGATAATTCCGTTTTTATCCGTGAAGCTTTATTAAGGTCTTTGGTAAAAAAATAACATTTCTTTTTTGGAAAGTTTATTTAATGGTTTTATGTACCGACAATTCCACGACATATTTTGGAACACTCGCGACCTGTAGAGAACCTGTTTAAATTACCTCCGCATCCACTGTAGGAGAAACCTCTGCAAGTCCTTGAGGTCATATCAAAATACCACCTGTATTTTAAAAAATAAAACACATCACTCACTGAAGGACGATTTGGAAAAAGGGGCAGTGGTTACTGAGAGGAGCATGGAACGTTGCCTAGACTTAAATCGTATCCTTCATAAACACTGCCGACGATAATAATTAATCCACAAAATGGCCATTATTGAAGTAATAATCGGTTACAATAAACTTTCCATAGAAAATATTAATAGATAGATTTGTTTTTTTAAAGAATTGCCTTTAGGATAACATTATCCCGTGTTGTAAGGACGTTTGACAAACATAAATTGCACATGGACAAACACCCAGATACGAAACAACTGTCTGTGGGTTGCACAACAGTTGTCCCGTGTGGGAATCGAACCCACGACCCCCGACGCCGAAGCCAATTTCTTGGCGCCTGCGCCACGAAGTCATCAAAGATGACGAAGATGAGTATTAAATACATTCACAAATTACAATATTCCGTCATGGAATATGATGGTTTTCTTTGGAATACATATAGTTAAACCTTTAGAATAGCTAGGACTGCGTGTTTAGAGTAAAACGCTGGTATTCTAATCTTCATTTTATTTTTTAAAAAAACAAAAACAGGTACAACGGCCGTATCATTGCCGCCTCCACTAATAATTTTCAGGTCTTCTTATTGTTCAAATTTTACACGTACACTTCTAAAGGTGCCATGGCCCTCTGACTCCTGGGAAATTCTCCACTTACGCTTCTTCACCTTAAATTAACTGTTCAATTCACTTTCCTCTGCTACATTCTTATCACTATGAGTTTCACTCCTAAACTGCCGTCCAGGGCCTCCGTCATTTTTAGGCGAAACTTAAATCGTCCTTTCGTGTAAAACGTTCTAGAAAGCGGACGTTTAAAGGCTGAATGTTCCAGAATAATAACCTTCAAGAAGTCCCAAGTTTTATTTGAACCGTTAAATGGACAGCTTTTTTCGTAGATTAAATGAATATACCGGCGCTCCCTCAGCGGACACCACGTCTCCTTGAAGAACTAGCTCCTTTTTTAGAGGCGTGGACGAGCGTGAACTCATAATTGGAAGCAATACAGCCAATTCCTGCTGCCATTTAATTATGAAATCTCTTACCTTTGCGAACAACTTGGTAATATCCTGCAGTATCTCAGCTTTGCCTTTAGCTTCTCTTTAACCTTGATACTAGTCACGGCATTGGCGTTTATCAGGAGCCATATTGAAGAGTCCTGCGGCTAAGACTTTAACCTTGGCCTTGGAAATGGCTCCGCAGGTTTGTGAAAGTTTTTTGTCACAGTTCTTTTAACGCGAGATTTATCGTCTTTGATAGGCGCTGCATATATTCCACCGGCTGAAATCGCAACTGCTATCTGTTATTTCACTAGCAGCCGCTTCTTCCTGTTGCTGCTGTGCAACTGTAGCGCGAGTAGTGACAATTTCTTTTTGTACCCCCGTCATGACAGGTATCCTCCAATCCGACACTAATTGTTACGAGCTAGGGGCTGCCGGATTTAAGTGAAATTGCGGTATTTTAAGTTTTACCTTATTCATAAGAAAAGCAGGTGCTAAGACCGTCTCGGTGATGAACTATGCTTCCATTTACACTTCTAAAGCCTTTCCATTATCGCTCAAGTCCTCAACATACAGATACGACGGCCCGTTCGTTATATTACAAGTGCTCTACTTACCCTTTTTCAGCTCTTCTCACTTTCACTAACGCTTTTCACTTTTCCTTTCACATGTGACCACCATTGAACTACCTACTAGCGCCCTCAAAACCCCTTTTTATAGGCAAAATTTCGATCGACTTATTGTTTACAATGTTCTGGAATAGAAACCTTAATTTTGATTGTCTCTTTTAAAATTGAATATTTCTAGACCAACATTTTGAAAAGATATTATTAAGTGCATCTTTCAAAGCTGACAAGTCGTTGAAAATCGAGATGTCAGCTAGTATTTAATTTATTTTCACAATTTTTTTATTTATAGAGTAACAAAACCAACATTATAGAATTTATAGGTAAGAATTCAGATCATCAGAACCCTTAAGGTTTTAAGTAAGAACATCATGACAATCATGTATTAACAGAATGTGTGAGATATAAATTAGCCCGTGATTACTTAACCTAATTATTAAAATTAAATCTATTCGATGTAGGTACTTTCCATCATGTTTTGTCAAAACCTGGCTCTAAGGCAGCTTTTTATTTATATAAATTTGTACAATTGCGTTTCCGTGACACTGAGTAATCTTAGAAATATAAGTCATTCTGTGAACATGTTAGTTATAAGGTACAATGTGACTGACATATGCATGTTTGGTTAAAAATCCCTAAATTAATAAAGAGTAAAGAAAGAAAGAAAGTAACATCAATTTTTTTTAATTTTCTCTTAGTTAACCTCTTTAGCCTCATTACAAAAAATATACTACATACAAAAGATATATTACTGCTTCACATAACTAGCAAACATACAATTAAAAACAATAAATTTAACTAAAATAAATGTTGAGCCTAATCTCTTTAAATGACGATAATCTATATTATTTTAAAACTTATGTTTGCCATTGCTTATGGTTGACTAAAATAAATGTTTTCTTAAAAAAAATTCTTTTAAAAACTAAAAGAAAGCGGTAATGATGCCATGTATTGTCTGATTATATGGAAATAGTGAAGAAGACTGAAATTTACCGTTATTCTTCTCAATAATATACTTTTTATTGATAAATACTTATAGTGCGTGCTATGCAAACATTTCGTACGGGTCGAATAGGTATTAAAATAGAAAAAAAGTTTTTTCTTCGGCGTATTTAAAGAGCACGAATCACTAGCGTAATTAGCAATTCAATGCACAGCCTTGCTTTTTTTACTAAGCGGCGGCAAATTTCCATGAAATTTTATGTCTAAGATTTTCAATGATTTTTTCATTTTAAATAAATTGAGCCTAATCTAGAATAATAGGAACCCTAATATACAGCGTGTCGTTACCATCGCGACAATAAATGAACACACATATAGGGGATAAGTTTTTAAAGTTGTATTAAACGTTTTAATTCTTTAAGCATCAATATTTACAGAGTTATTAAATTTTCCAAAACAAAGAATTTTTGAACACCTTACGTATAAAAGCGTAACGTAAAGTTCATTTGTAAAGGTCACAAAGCATATGAATGGGTTGAATGAATTTAAAAGAGACAAATCATACTGTTAGAAGGAGAGGCTTGTAATACGACGCTGTGGCGCGAGTTGTATAGGATGTTACAAATTTTGTTTCTTTTTTACTTAATTAGTTTGTTTGAAAAATATTTTTTTTAATTATGGATTTTGTTTTACATTAATATTTTTTTATGATTATTGGCTCGTAGCGTTAGACGTGTGTTCATTTATTGTCGCGATGGTAACGACACGCTGTATAAGATTTACTTCTTTCTTCCATGCTTAAATATTAATTATTAATCTATGTATATAAAAATGAATCCCTATTTCACTTGGTCACGCCATCACGCGTGAACGGCTGGACGGATTTCACTTTTTTTTTGTTGTGTTTGTTATCAGGAAAAGGTTCTTGTGACAGAAAAAAAATTAAAAAATTACGCGGAAAATTAGAAAATTTAAGAATACTTATTTAAGAATACTTAAAACCGTATAATACTATTTTTAATTTAACTTCTGTCAGATATTGTTTCCTAGTTTTTGACATGGCCAGTTATATGTCGCCTGTTCCCGTGCGGAATACCAACAAAAACTATTTATAACGCGCAAGAAAAAATACCAAGATTATTGTATATCATAAAGGATTAGAATAATAAACACACTTTTTTTATTAACTATACCAATTCGAATTAAATAGTCATCGTTAAGACAGGACAACGTTTGTCGGGTCAGCTAATGTTATATATTATTTGAATGTGTGTTTAGTTAACTGTTGATTGTGGTTTAATCAAACGCCTCGCAAACGTAAAAACGTAAGTCTTTCAAGAATATCCCTCAAGCAAACGTACAACGATTAGTTTGATCGCTTGAATCTTTAGAAGATGCTGAAAAGTAGAGGGGAGAAAAGCAGAACGCCAAGCTGCGCTGAGAGCTGCTGAATGCCCTTCGAAGACACAGGAATGGCGGGCTGAGCAAGGGACACTAAAATCACAATTAACTTAATTGCTGCCATAATTAATGAAGGACAGTCCTCATCAACAGATACAATTTTGCAGGCACTTGATAATACATTGCAACTGGAAGCCGAGCACTCACAAGTTTTATGACTCTCTAAAAAATATACATCGACTAATAGAGAAGGCTACCATTCTGGAATTCTACTCATTAATCCCGTAAAATTACAGCCTAATCCGAACGAAGAAGTTTCATGTATGAAATTTTATCATATGATGTTGCGATAAAGTGATTTTCACCTTTTGTTGTGGCGCAGACAACTATTTCATCAGTTTCTGTTCGATATGTAGGTTAAGGAAGAGAGCGAGCGCATTCGTAATTAGTGATAGTACATAAGGATGGAATAAGCCGTCGGGCTCTACTGATAAAATTAATTTTAGATATCAATATAGTAGAATCTATCTCATTATTTAGAATAATATGCTAAGAGAGTGCATGACATACTGGAAGAGAACTACATAGTATGTGTGTGGATTGTGACAACGATATTTCAGTGTTTTTGTATTTTTTCTATCCAGTAATGCGTCATTTACAGAAGTATACCTTACAACACTCGCAAAATCTATTATGTGAAGATTATAGCGCTTGAATTGGCTATAATACATCCAAAAATTAATTTATAAGCTTTTTACTACTACTCAACTCTGTTACATCTATTGACATTTGCTTCAATACAATTTGTGTTTTTACATATTACTACCATCACTAAGAAAAGTACAAAAAAAAATTGATGAACATCTTTTAGGCGTAGTACTCACATAGGATAGTAACTATTACATTCTCCGAAATCATGTTGTAGTCTGCAGAAAATTTCTTTTCTAACTGGCTCTTCTAGAGGTTCCATACCGGGTTCTGCAATGATACCAATTATGACAGGAAAAGGAGGAGCAACGCTACTTGTATCAGTCCAATAACGTCGAAGACGTCAGAAGTTATGAGTGGCTAATTTCTGCGAATGGGTTAAATCCTGGATTTTAAATGACAGTAAGAATTCCTGTTGACATATCAACCCCACAAACCGATCACCTTTCCTTCTGTTGCTGGATTCCATGGTAGGAAATAAGAGTGGACCTAACTCATTCGTTCGTTCGATAAAGCTTTAATATCTACAGACTGAAAAAGTTGGAAGATGAGATTTTGTACCAAATGTAGTAAGCAACTGCTAGAAAACAGGTCTTCGCTTGAACAATAAAGTCGGTAATAAGCTTGTGTAGAGGAAACGTAAATTACGATAAATAATAATGGGGTGATAAAGTTATTATAATACTCGCGAAAATAGTCAACAAAAAGGTGTAAAAAAATTAACAACTCACCCCGACAGCTGTTGTGACAATCCTTTAGAGATATAAATTTATTCAAGTTATGCGTACAATTGCTAAAATATGCCGATCTGCAATCCTCCAATTTAATGTCATAGTAATAACTGTAAGAAAAGAAGAAATAACTGTAGAAGCAGAAAATGAAGTTTTAACAATATAAACAAACAACGGTGGTAGGGCCACGCAGCAACGTCGGCTATTGCACGAAGCGGCAGGCCCGTCCGGGTAAGTTACACGACCATACAGAAGACCAGCGTAAAGTGGAAGTATGACAAATACTTTCACGTTTCGTTTAAGTATTTGTCATACTTCCACTTGTGAGGTAGCTGGAGCCCAATTTTCAAAAGGTTGTCAACGCATCTGTAACCCTCGGGTGTGGCAGATGTCCATGGGCGGTATTCACTTAACATCAGATGAACCGTCTGCTTGTTTGACAACTTTTCGCATAAAAAAATGATGAATATATGCGAAGGATTCAGGTGAAGGCCCGTTGATATAACATCCGCTTTATGAATTATACCTTAAATCGATCGATAAGGGATACCTTAATCAAAAATGAATTATCATATTTATGAATACTTCAAACTATCAAATGAAAAGAACCAATCAGTCATGACGAAACCATGGTTTATGATATTGGCTATTTAAGTTACTTACGATGCGACTAGTTCTCCTCTCGACCAAATGCGTTTTCCTAATCTTTCGCTGCTTTTGTTTACGCAGTCATTAAGGTAATCCTCGAACCCATATGTCTCAGATTCGATTCCCACGTAGTAATAGTATTTTTTGTGACATACAACAATATAATAATTCTGGATCTGAGTTCATGAGTATGGTAATATGTAACCTACTGTAATAATGACATATACATGTACATTTATTATATATACTATTCGTTTATTATATTATACTTACAACGGGCGTCTCTGACCATTTCCTTCGCAATCATAACTGACTGGTTGCAATTTACACAATATTTTAGGGTCAGATAATACTGTATCTGGAAAGTATTATTATAATATATATTAAATCTCTCTGGAAAGCATTATTATAATATATATATATATATATATATTAAATCTCCATTCCCTTTTCAGTCTAGATACAAGTTGTATTATATACCTCCCTGAAGGCAAAAACTAAAGGCGAACAGATGACACGTTATACATGCACAACAGCATACTTACAATAAGAATGCTAACATAAGCTGAATTTATCGGTTTTAATCTCTTCGGGATACATTCACCTACGGTTTCATTTACGACTATAAGACCTATTTTATTACCGAAAATTTATTTCGTTATGAAATCAGTACGAGTATTTACCACTTCATATTTTCTTATTATTAGGTCGGGAAGACCGAAAAATATTATGCATATTTCATTACTCAGTAATTTGTATCTAAATGTAATTTCCAAAAAGACCTCCAGATACTATAATATATGCAGCAATAAAATAATACTTTTTTTCGTGTCTACATCAAGTTAATGTTGTGCTTTTTCCCTGTTTAAACATTATAAAAGCTATTTAAGTTTTATTAATTTTAGGTATTTTGTAATACAAACCGGTCAGTTTAGATGTTGTAGAAGACTGTTCAGTTTCTTCTACTGCTTTACATGACAATAATAAAGAGAAAACAGTGTAGGAAACAATTAAAAATGTAATTTTAGAAGACATTAAAGTACCACACTTTAACATTATCAGAATGGAAACTTGTTTTGTACTGAATCAATTTCACGGTGAACAAAACACATTAATTCAAATTGTAGATTAAAATAACATTAGAAATTGCTTTAACTACTATTAACGTCCATGTCCTGCAAGGACAATAAGATCGGCAATGGCTTTTTCCACAATTTGCTTCTCCGTATCCGGTGTGATTGATTTTAATACATTTTCTAAAATCCAAGTTTTCATCCACTTCTGTTGAATGCGATTTTCGATACGATTACGATGCATATGATAATCTAAGCGTCGTTTTACAGTTCTGAACACATGCATTTGCCTTTCCCGGAATGCAGCTTCTAGCTGCATTGCAACATTTTCTTTCTTTGCATCCATAAGCAGTTTTTGGCCATTAGCTCTCCATTGAGCATCTTTTGCTTCTTTAATGATAGACTCATAATGTGCTTCTTCTTCTTTTCTTGTCGCATTTAAATTGGTTTCGAACGCGTCCACATCTTTGTCCAAACTTGCCGCTAAAATAGGACCCAGCTTTTTATTGCCGTATATAATAATCACTAGTATGGAAAGACCAATGTAGTAATCGTGTTCCATTACATATATTTCCTTGCTTATCAAATAGTTTGCGAGTAGTATACCAAAAAGATACGGTCCTGTGACACCGGTCTTCGGATAAAAGAAGACAAAATAATCTTCAGGTATGAAGCCGAAGCGAACTTTACCAGGCCTATTAAGACGTTTCGGTTTCCAAGCGCCATTTGTTTTTGTGCTACATGGTTCCGACGCTACTAACCTCTGAACTGGACACGTTTCAGTATGACTGGTAAATATAACTTTCGGTATCAAGAATCTTATCTCCCTCCTCAGGAAGGTTAATCCTTGAATATTCATGGTTGGTCAATAAATATCGGATATTTCGTTTACTTTACGACTGTCAACGTTACGTCAAACAGATAAATTGATTGTGCTTCTATATTCAGACAGTTTTATTTAAAAAAAAAAATGAATTTTACTGTTTCAACTTTGACAAAAAAAATGTCTTCGATTAGAAAAAAATATGGTAAAGGTAAATAACTTTAACTCCGGCGTAATTCAAATCAAATAAATTTTAAACGATAGAGATAAATCTCTAATGAATTAATCAACAAGCAGAATTCGGCGGTCGCTTATAGTTTTCGAGAAAAAAAATATTTAAAACTTGTTTTTTGTACTAAGAAATCCACCATTTTATTTGTTTGACTTCAAAAACTCAATACACAGTTCTGCCAACATGATAAATATAGGAAGCGGGCGACATCATACACGTATCGATATTCTGATATTTTTTTTTAATTTAATGAGTCACAGAACCGACACAGAGCGAATCCGACTCAGATAGATTAGGTTAGCTCCGCTCCCGCCTTAACCTTCGATGTTAGGTTTTTTTTTTATGACCACCAAGAAATACGAGCTGAATTGAGATATTGACAACAAAAAAAACTTTTTTAAAATACTCACATTTTTATATCATCGGCGGGTAGAGGACACTCACACTCTTCCAGAAATGGTGCAAACGTTCTCCAGGTTCGGGGAAAATTTTACGAAATCGTGCCTCAACCAGATAACCAATGAAGTCCACATTTAAAACATTTAACAGTATTTACAAGAACTCCATGACGATACAAAAAATTAAAAAGGACTAAACGATCTGATTCTGATTTGAATAAAATTTTATAAAAAGAATAAAACTTAAATTACAATATGTACATAAAATATCACTACTACTAGTAGACGCACACATATTATCCGTCATTGCAAATACGAATAACCACTATTCTATTGTTTATAAATAATGAGCGGGAAATACTTCCGGTTTAAATTTAACATACGATTAGGCACCGAAAAAAATATATACAGCCAATATACTAATATCGATTTTGAAACTCGATTTTCAATTTAAAATTCTCGATTTAAAATTTTATTAAATCTTGGTTAAAAGCCCTTAACTTATTAAAAACTAAATATCAATGTATTATAAACTAAATATAATAATGAAATTACATTTCACAGTAATTTAAATTGTAAAAAAATGTAATCGATTTATAATCGATATAAAATTTAAAAAAATGTCCATAATATTTCAATATGAATAACGTTGGTTTATTTGGTATTGGCGCTTAATATTTAAGAGTTTTCTTGGATTATAACCTAAACTATATTTGATTATTAACATTTCTCTATCGATTAAAATGTTTTTGAGTCGGAAAAGGAGACATTGATTGAAATATTTAGGAAAAAAAAATAATGGAATAATCGCTAGGACATGACGTCGCCCGCTTCCTATATTCATCATGTTGGCAGAACTGTGTATTAATTACGTTGGCGAATGGCGGACTTTGTTAGTGAAAATAACAAGTTTTAAATATTTATTTCTCGAAAACTATAAGCGACCGCCGAATTCTGCTTGTTGATTAATTCATTAGTGATCCCTCTCTATCGTTTAAAATTTATTTCAATTGAATTACGCCGGAGTTAAAGTTATTTACATTTACCAAAAATATACATTATAAAGTTTTTTACAATCACAGGTTTTACATATTTTTTTTATTTTCTAACTTATCTATCGCCTAGTAAAAAACTAGTTGAACACGAAAGAGGTGTTGTTATATCCACGAAAAAATTAAAAATGAGGTTTACTTCTGAATAAATACATAATAATTAGTATCGTGTACGAGCGTTGTCATAAAAGATTTGAGTGTCCCTTTTTAATGACAAATTAAAACTTTTTTACATAATATGGACGTTTTCTAGTACTCAATCATTCAATTACAAAAATTTATGTCTGTTTATTCCGGCTAATCTCCAAAATAGCTGTGCCACTTTTAGCGGAACCTTCACTGGCTGTTTTGTCCCAGAAAAAGAAATAGAGTTCCGCGCAAAAAAGAAGACCATTTTCATTACAAATGAATTAAATTGTGTTATTGTAACTATTTCTAGTTATTAATATATTATTTCATATTTCCATCAAGTGAAGGTTGGGGGATTTCAATTCAAGCAGTTAATAAACTAATTTAATTTAGTAAAGTATCAGCCTATACATAGCCCAATGCGGGGCAAAGGTCTCCTCTGTACAGAGGGTATCAGAGCATAATCCACCACGCGGTCCCACTGTGGATTGGCGGGCTTCACATATCTTATATGTTTTACTATTATTTATAGAATATGCAGGTTTGCTCACTCCTATATTTTCCTTCACCTCTGAGCACTTGATAAATCAGCACTTAAAATTAACAATTTCATTGGTGCTTGCACCGGGGGTCGAACTCACTCGTTACTCGAGTATAATTAAAGGCGACACTGACTATCACAGCTTATCTTATCTGGTTAAATTTTTTTAGTAATAAAAAACGTATGTGATTATTAATATGTGTGTTATTAGCTTGAAATTTCGTATCGGATATCTAAGACCAATTTCCATCCATCATCGAATTAAATTTTGAATTATGAAAATTTAATTGGATTAACTAACACATAGAATAATTTTTAGGCAGGGAAAATATTGTCGCGAAGCGAGGGCATGTGCTAACGGAAGATATTAATAATATAATAAGTTGCAGAAATGCTGTGTCTCGATAAAAAATGTATAGGATTTTATTATTAAAATCTCATTTATGTTTCATCACCCCTCTCCTGTTATTTACTTACTAACTATATGTAATGCATATTATACTGGCAGAGTAATGAATATGGAAACATTATATATGGAAACATATTAAAGTGGCAACACTGCCAGAAAATTATTGCTGTCATCCACTTACACGGTCCCTTGATCCATTTTTTTCTCCGTCTACGGTTAACTTGTAGTTAAATTGCATCCAATTGACGGTGTTACGAAATAGGCATTTTTATAACTTTTTTTGCCTTTAATGTGTGGTATCAATAATAAAATAAAATTAATATCGATGATTATAATGGACAGCCCGCAGGGAGGCAGCACTTTTTTTTAATTTCCTAAGTGCGTAAGAGATTAAACTATCTAAAGCTATTGATGTGGCGAGAAAAGAAAAACGTAATTTAAAAAACATAGTTATTTTATTAATATCCATTATCATAAAAATAATTAATTAATCAAGTCGTACATTATTGAAGTAATTATATTGAATATACATATATAACAAGATCTTTAAAATTCATTGCATTTACGATTTTTATTCTAGAGATCTGTAAAGTATCAATTGCTTACATAATATGTTTATTTATTATGTTCAGTTTTAAACAAAATAATATCATCTCATTTCAAAGACATATTGATCAAAGCCGGACATATTTAGCTACCGCTGTTGACTAAACCCTAAGTAATTATATTTTTCACAACAACCTAAAGGCGGTATTTTGCGGCGCGAAGTATTGGGTATTTGTCACCAGTGCAGAGACCGCGGAAGTCATCCATTGAAAGATCGACGATGGCAACTCCACCCAGATTCTTGGATCTGAAGAAAATAAGTTCTTATTATATTTCTAAATACAGATGTTTATACATATAATAATTTCTATGTAATCTATACTATATTTAAAAGGTTAAATAACAAATGAAATATAACTGTGAAATCTAGCTGATTTTTGTTTCTATGCAGAAACAAAATATGGTACAACAACAAGGAATTGAAATTGGTTATGACAGATTCGAATGTACAAGGGGATAGCTTCTAAAAAGGAAGGTATAGAACTTAAAGACAAATTGGTGAATAATATATGAGGATGATTATAGAGCGAACATTATCTACTAATTGTTTCTATAGATAGAGGATCTGAAAATTAATAGTAAATGTAACAAACACATGGACACCTACTTTACATAAGCGGCCTTTTGACCAGCGGTATCTGGATCTTCGTAGCTCACCCAGAGGCCTGCTTCGCTGTCACCGTCGGGGAGGCGGAAAGCGTAAGTTCCTAAAATGACAATTCGTTTGAGTATTGGAGATTGTACACTATACACCAAAATATACACAGCCACAGCACAGGATAGAATAGACGACACGAAGAATTAATATATGATAAAATATCCAACAAAATAATAACGATGCGTTAATAAGAAGTCACTTGAAGTCATGTCAAGTACAAGCACAGCTAAAGCAAATTGCATTGCACATTTTTTGCAAATGATTATTAAATATTATTTTTGCGTCAGCAATCTGCTAACTCTACTACCAACACCGTTACAAGCAAGCTATAATAGAGTACCAACCAAAAATATATGACAAATCAGCGTCCTTTGTTAAGCCCTTCTCTGAAAATTCAAAAGCAGCCGCTGATACCCAATTTCTTAACCGCAAAGCGTTTAAAACGAAAGGTAACATACCGAAACGTTTGCTGGGGTCAGTCACCTTCCTCATGTAAGGGTGCATTCCCTTTTGGTGGCTGGGGTTAATTAACTTAGCGCAAACTTCGGGGTAGCTCAAAAGGCCTTCGGTTTTTGTGTACGGGCCTGTAGAAAACAATTGTTAAAATGTTAAACTTTTCACGCACACATCAATCAGCGACGAGGACTTTATTTAAATTCCACATAGGCCTCTTGCGGGACATTTTGTAAAAAAGTTCTTAAAATATTTATCAAAAATCAAATCAAATCAAGAATATATTTATACAAATAGACGCTTGCGCGCTCTTATGAATCGTCAAATTTTACAAAGCAGTTCTGTTGAGAAGAGACCGGCAAGAAACTCAACAGTTGCTCTTTTTCAAAAGTATCAGCTTACCATATAACATACAGGTATAATAGTCTTATTCTAGCCTACGTGAGTATCAACAGTATTAACTCCACACATTGGCGTCGTCGAGATATTCCGTAATGGTATAATATACTTTAACTATAAGTTGTCTTCTAATTTTATCCGATTTGAATATAATATAACCTTTGACTAACACTGAAATATTCCCTGTCATCTGTGACAAATGAAAAAGTATTAATGTTCTCGGAGTTTTAGTCGATGGAAACAGAAAAAACAACAAACCTGGTTCACCGGGACCATTGGCGTGGAGGGGGGGCACTCCCGCAATCTCACTCTCGGAGTCAAGACTCCAGGTGCGTGCAAAGGTTGCAATACCCAGAACTATTTTGTACAAGGGTGCACCGGCTTGGACGCTAAGAACAGGAAAATAATATTAATCTTTTGACCTTTCAGCTTTCAACCCTATTACTGAGGTCTACGCACGAAATTGCTAACATTATCTCGAGGCTTACGCAATAAAATAATAAAGCACATTAAATTTCTGCGAAATTTAAATGTGCGGGTACCGCGAATTTTCTCTTTGGTTTTATCCGAATGGCTTCCATTTATCTAAATAAAATGATTACTTTATTCTATTTTTAATCTTTTGTTTAGTTTATTTTATTTTCTTTCAAAGGACAGTGGTTACATACATGTACACATAAAAAATGAGCAAGGGCATTATTACTAGCTACAAACCGTAATTTCTGTACAGAGACATTTGGTATCAGTTAATGTGAAAAATATGCGAAAAGGTGAAATATATGCCAAAAACCTGATGAATTATGCGCGACTGAATTGGGAACGGGCAAGCAAACATTTCTTCATCCGACTTGTCGAAACAAAGAAGGATGAAGTTTTTATCAGTCCATGTACGTATCGCTCCTTTGTGCGATCTAGAGATCAAATGCGTGGGCCGATTTTGATGGTTCTTATAACCAATCGAATTGTCTTAATCTTGCGAGTCATCAAAGACATTAATCATAATTCAGTACAATGACAGCCATATGCCATATTGTTTCACAATTAATAACGACGAACAATGATGTTTTAATAAAGATGACGGATGTCCATACAGTGCAGCGTTTAAAAATTGTTCCGTTTTACATTTGAATGTGACAGATGATATAGAACAAAAAGAGATAGCATTCTATAGACTTGCAATCTAATTTCTAAAAAAAAAATTGGCGTAATTTGAGTGCCTCAACTTCGGTGCGCTTGTGTCATATCTACCTCTTATTTATATACATATCATTGAAGACGAATAGGAAAATATTCCATTCAAACAGCATTACTTGGCCTTTTCAAAAATTTTTGCAAAAATACGCAGTCGAGGTTTTTGGATATTTTAGTCAAGTTACTGGTTATATGTAAGAATAAGCCAATTCTTACAAGTAGTTAACCGCTGCGTTGGCATTCTGAAGTTCGTTTCTGCTCTGTGGCGTGTAGATCGGAGCCGCGTAATCTGCCTCCTTAGGGTTCCTCTGCGCCGTGAAGTAGTCGAAAGCCTCCAAGTTCACGAAATCGACGTGATTGATAATAGCGGGCACGTCGATATATACTGAAAAGGACGTACACAAAAACTGACAATCGTAAAATTAACGCTTAGGCTGAAACCCTGATTAATGCCATAAATTACCATTACTCTCGATGTTTAAGACATACTGATTCGACTAAACGGTAGTCTTCACACATTCTCGATATGACATTATTCTACCTGATATTCTATTACTATTTTATCTAGGGTAGGCTCTACGCTTTGGGTTTTTTACAATTGCTGTATAAACATTTTTTAAAACTTTCTGCCCTTTTATTATGTCTCCAATAATTACAAAAATTGAACGTAAAAATCGCAAAAAGACTTTATAAAATCACAAAATCTTACATTTTAGTGTAGCTTTTCCTGCAGCTCAAACAACACTTAATGGCCAAACTATCGCTAAGTCAAGAAATTTATGCCTCGTTTAATTAACTAGGAGGATTTAACGTGCTGCATTGCAAGGAATTTCTTACCGTCCGCCAGTAACTTATCAATCGAGTTTATTATTGTGTGCACTTACTGGTTGAGTTCACATTGGGAAGAACTGAAACGGCCAACTGCATGTTGGGTTTCAGACTGAGGGCCTGCTTCATTTCGCGTACGAGGGCTGTGAAACCTTCACGGTGCTCAGGCTCTTTGTCGTCGACAGGAGTCGTGGCGAAAGTTTTCTTGATGCCGTGCCAGATAGATCCTGTGTATTTTGAAAAAGTCTGGTCATTAAATTATTAAATATTATTTATTATATTTGATTTTTTATTCTGAGAAACTAGCTAAGTAACCTAAGTAACGAAACTAAGTAAATGGCGCAAATATGTCTCTATGTTTAGATTTTGTATTTGTAGCATTTGCTGTTTATGTCCTGGGCTTAACGCCGCGGCTGGTGACAAGAGGTTTGGTTCTTTTCTCGGTCAAAGGTTAAGCATTATTACTATTCAGCGAAGAAATGCAGCTAGCGTTCTGGACACGATGCCGCGTGGATTTGGTTTATTAGATATAATGTGATTTTAGATAGATTTAAACTTGTAAATAATTGTTTAATTAAATAACTTGCAATTATTAGTAACGAACGGGTCACCTGATAACCACCACCTTAAGTGATCACCGCAGCCCAAGGACTCCCACAATACTTGTGAATAACAGAGCTACAATAGAATAAATACTTCTGCTTGACGCAGATTTCCTGTATTACATATTTGTTCGAACGACTAGGTCATTCATGTAAAACTAACAGTATTATGTTGTTTTTCTTTATGTTACACTCAACATGTGTGTCTGTTCATCGTCATTACATTTATTCAACTATAAGAAGTCATAACTTGAGAGTTAGAAGTATGATAGCCGACCAAGACATGTCTTACCCCAAGTGGAGCGGATTTTCTTCGGTTTGATCTTAGGGAACTGCCAAGCCAAGTCAATGCCATCGAAACCATACTGCTCAGCCAGAAGTACTCCAGAGTTAACGAACGCAGTTCGGGCTTGCGGGGACTCCAACTTTACAAAAAGAGGGGTCATGTTACGAGTATTAACATTTATAGACAGTTCAAATTATTAATTAAAAGTTGCCATACGAGCAGACGGTTCACCTGATGTTAAGTGAATACCGCCGCCCATAGACATCTGCTACACCCGGGGGTATGCAGAAGCGTTGACAACCTTTTTGGAAATTGGGCTCCGGCTACCTCTCTTACCAGACGAAACGCGAAAGTATTTGTCAAACTTCCACTTTACGCCGGTCTTCTGTGACGTCGTGGTACTTACTCGGGCGAGCCTGCCCATTTGTGCAACAGCCAAGGCTGCTGCGTGACTCTACCACCGTGAGAAAAATATAAATTAAATAAATAAATATAAATGAAACTAACGACCTCTCTAAATGATTAAATTAGTTTTATTATTTTAATCTTGGAGAATCGCTCAGATTTGTTTGACTTTTAAAGCTAGAAGTTTGGTTAAAGTAGCAATTAATAATCCAAAGTTATTAAATCTGGAATATATGCTTTAGAACCTAATCTACTTTGAATTAATAGATCTAATGTTTTACATTAGGTCTATTTATTCTCTCGTTATATTTTCAAAAAATTATCACTATACAAACACCAATTTATAAGTAAAGTAAGTAAGGAACGTAGTAAGTTCCATACTCACTACATTTAAACTTGCTCTACATCATAAAAGTGTAAAATCGACAGAACACTGACCAGCAAATTGTACTTCTGGGGGTCTTCCGTGTCTACGTCTCCGCCGACTGAAAGGAGGACCTTCAGAGCCGGGTATTTGGTCTTGAAGTTAGTTATGGCTCTGTAGTTTGCATGTGCGCGGTCCACGTCGAGGTTTTCATTCAGCGGCACCATTTTGTACGTGTCGGGGTGGACGCCGGCGTAGCCGTACACCAAGTGGGTGCAGAAGGACAGGGCCGGATCCAAGTCCAACGGCAGCATCCTCGCTTGTGCTGGATAAATGCATCCTTCGACTATATTTACGACGTGACACAAATGTATTTCTTTTTCAAACACCAGGCTAAAGAATCTACCTATCTCTAAAGGAGGTAGGTACTAAAAATTAAAATTGTCAAACGGGTGCTTGTCATCCCAAACGCCGCAAAAATTTAAATTGATGTGTGCTACCACCAGACTTAAACCGGGTCCAAAGATATCGAACTGGCATTCAATCCACCAATAGGTCACCGTATATAAAAAACGGTTAATATTCACTGTATGACCTTCATTCAATCTTTTTTAATAACAGAGAGTGCTAATATGGTAGGGCCACCAAACAGCTAGATACCCTACACCTAGATAACAATAGATGTTGCACGAATGGGCAGGCTCTTCCAGTGTAGTACCACGGTCACTGAGAACTGACTGACGTGAAGTGGTAGTCTAACATTTTTGCACTTCTTCTGTTTAGTGACGTAACCGGGGCCCACTTTTGATGCATCTAGAGCCCCTCGGATGTTGATGTGCTTGGGCTGTGGTAACCTCTTAACATCAGGTGAACCACCTACGGGATTGCTAAGTTTCATATTAAAAAACATGTGTAATGTAATATGTAATTTTAAGGAATATCTCTCGACCTTAAAAGCTTATCGACCGAATCAAAAGCACGAGAACAAATTTACTTATATTAATACTTGCTGATCAATTCTGAATTTTTGAATCTAACAAATTTCACGGCTGCTACGCAACCATTTAGCGTAGGTGATGCAAAATATGAAAAAAAAATAGTGAGATTTGTCCACCCATGGAAAGGTAATTACGTAATCCCAGTCCTTTCAGTTTGGTTGTCAATATCCTATCCTCTGTATCTGAGTTCAATATTTCCAATTTCCTGACTTCTCTGATCTTATAGTGTCCTCCCAAAACTTTACTTACGCTCTATTAATTCATGACGCACTCAATAGATAGATAGTTCTATAAACAGGCCTAAAGATAGAAAAATTTACAATTTATTTTGCAATTTTATTCTATGTCAATTATAATCAATGTATCGACATTAAAGATTTTAATGGCCGATTATAACATTTATCCAATTCTATCCATGAAAATCATTTATCATAATTTCTTGTACTTATGCGATTGCACATTATAAATGATACTATTCTTACGGATTTATCACGCGATAAATCTGTAAAAATAGTACTTATCATTTTTTAAATCATTACAATCATAACATACATTGAAATCATTATTGGTCCAAGTTGACCCCGATGACATACGCCTACGCTTACGCCCGAGCGTGGGCCACGTTCCCTGCTGGAGGCACGTGTTCATGCATGTATATTCCTTTGTTTCCGCCAAATTAACCACTTAATGATAAGTGTTGTTATGAACCGAGAATTGGCCTTCACATTGGGACGAGTATAACGTGTTCCTGTAGTGTTGGTAATACTGCAAATGTTTTCTTCGTTAACTCTAATAAGCAAGGAAGAGGGGATATCCAGCGATCGCGTACAATAACCGGAACCTGGTTCTTAACACGATGGAGAAATTTTAAGGGAATTCACATGATTCCGCTATTTACCGTTTTAATAACAACATAACAAATAACAAGATAAATAAAAATGGATAATATTTATTACACCACCAAAATATTTTTTAATATTTAAAAACGAGTTCTTGTAATCTTTACACACGGTGGTAGTAAAACGAAAAAAAATTTTGATAATAATTTATTACTAATGTATGTATTAATTAATAATATATTATTAATATTTTTAATAACGTATTAAATATTAATATTTTGTAGGTCAGATATACACACACAGCGTAAGTTATATTTAAAAATCGAATGCTATAAATGCGTCATCGCCGTAATGCGTGCCATATTCATTTTAGTCCTCCAAAGCATTCAGTCAAAACGTAGTGGTTATATTCTCTTTGCATTCAGTTATCCCTTAGTCTTGCCTAAAATTTCACGTCAAGAAATAAATGCTATATTTTAACATTTTTAAAACAAATCGTGTTTCTGATTTATTATTCAATCTTCCGGATAAAAATCTGATCCAAATGATTCAAATTTTTTTTCAACTATTTCATAAACAGACCAAATCTTCATCGCAATATGCCGGGCATGGATGACGATTTTGTTCAATCTAATTCTAATTTAGATGAATTAAAAAATTATATAAATAGCAAAAAGAGGGAAATCATAAAAGAATACAAGAAGAAAAAGAATTCTACAATAATATCATGTCATCATACCTACGCCATGGAATACCAGCCCCATGTTACATTTATAAAAAGTTTATAAAAAATAAATATTTTGAAAGTTTCAAGTAGGTATATAAGGATTAATACATAAATCGGTGAAGAATGCTTTAATAAATTAAAGCAGACACTGAGTGATAATACAAATAAGCATTGGCCGTTCTAGAACATTTGTTGAATCTGTTTGTTTCTTTTATCTATATGTTGATACGAAAGGTACATAGGCCATATGTCATCGCTTTTCTAAGTAGTAAGCAATTTATAATTATGTATTAGTAATAACTCAGTAAACATTGACGGTTAACTATCTCATTAAGGTCAACAACTGTAAATAACATTCATTTTATCTTCATTAGACTACAAATAATTTATACGTAAATTATTTAACCTGCATATTAACCATAACCACAAAAGTATATATGCACCCTGGATATTAATTAGACTTTTCATTTTATTTAATAGCTATCGACTATGTTGAATGTCATTAATAAAAAAGTTTGAAACATTTTTTCCCTACCTTTGTTATGGTACTGAACTGTTTTGTATTGTATTGAACTATATTGTAAAAGAAAAATATATAGCTTTAAATATCTAATAAGCTAAAGTATCGAATAAACTTTATTCTTCAACTCTTGAGTATTGTGTGTTAATTGCAAGACAAAGCACAGACAAATATCTAAAACTGGGCATTGTGATACAATACAGACATAACATAAAATATCAGTTATTAATGAAAAATTATTGTAAACCTTGTAAGACAGAAGAAGTAGATTCTCTAAAAAAATGTACATCAAATCATATAGCGCAACGCATAGCCAATAAAAAAATATTTGTAATCATTATCGGCTTTAAACTCTCGTTGCTCGAATATATTACATTTTAAGACAAGCTCCCAATTACTAAGGCTCATTTAAGTTAATAAAAAACTTAACTAATCGAATAAAAGACGACTTAACCGATAAAGAAGGCCTTTAAGTATCAAACTTTCTAAGCATAAACTTGTACTGCGCAATGGTATGTGCATAAAAAGTTCCCAGGCGGAGTCAAGGCGAAGAATTCTAGATTGGGATGAAAAGATCAATGCGAGGGGAAAAAATATATAAATCTTAGCTGACCTCAACCGTAGACGAATTTAAAGGTCCTATGGCGCAATGATACAGCTGCGAAGACCAGTTTGTGTACGGCAACAACCAAATTATTACCTACTTGTGTTTCTTACTTACAACTTCATACTTCTCTTGAATTAGTCAATTTTACTTTATTAATATTGTGCTGTACCTTTACACAACTGTTTGAAGTGGTCGGTTTCGTAGGGAATTAACTGTTAATGACAAGAAATGCATATAGACGGGCTAATTGATAGGAATATGCAAATGGCAATGGTTCGTGAGGATTTTCACATATGAAGGACGCTTCATGTGAGATTCTGTTTACTGGATGACGTGAATGTCACGTTACAATGCTTCATGAAATAAAATATTTAAACCCGTATATAGATGTTTTTAGTACTCGATGCATCAACCGGATATGTTAATATATATACATAATATGGATTGAGACAACTTTATTATTCTTTCATTTAATCTTTAACGGATGGCAACGGCCTACTTAACCAAAGAGGCGACTCAATTACAAAAAATTCTAGCAATAGAAATCTGCTTCCAACTTTAAGACTCAATAAATCTTTATAATCCTACATAACGAAAATAAGAATTCTTGTCGCGTATTTATTTGGTGTGGTAAAAAACACATAATAGAATAAATATAATATATAGGACCATAGGACGCGCCATAGGACCTTTAAATTCATCTACGGTTGAGGTCAGCTAAGATTTATATATTTTTTCCACTCGCATGATACATAAAAAAACGCGTTAACGATGAAACGCGATAACGCGTCGATGGAATTCTTAGAACTTCCAAAAGGAAATCAACACGTTTGCATATTGAGTTTGCGGTGATTTTTTAAATAGTTTACCTTCACTTCTTTTTATTTATCGTATTTACAGCTGTCATAACTATTTTATCTGAGGAAAACGGGCTTCGACTCAAACGTTGAAACGGTCACAATTATTATGCACTCTTATTAATTACGATTAAAATAATATTATCACAAAATTTCGATTTTTAAAAAATTTTGCTAATTAAACTTATTTGAAGACATTCAAAAGATTTTACAATGCCCGATTTCCGATACAGATTGGCAAAATGTAAAAAATTATAAAAATTACTGTAAGCTTCACAAGTAATGAAAACAAAACAAATTCGATATACATTTATATTATTTATATAGAATATACATTTCTATTATATTTTATTTATGGAATTGCAGAACAATTGATTTAATTCTTACAACGCGTTGTAATGCACCTTTTGTTATCTGCCTATAGGTCAGTCTATTATAATATAAGCCTTAAGTTTAAAATAAGTTTTAAGTTTTAAATAATGTAACCATAAGATTTCTATTCTTTATCAGTATATTAAGATCTTTCCGTGTGTTTGTAGCCATTTTGTAAAGCTATGAATTTAAAAGAAACTCTCCCGCTCTCAAGTATAGCCATTTTATCGTTAACATGTATTACGTATGGGTGCATAACTTTCGTATTTGCGTTACGAAACAAAGAAATTCATGAAACAGCCAAATGTTAGCAAAACACATTATGAAAGCGAATTGAATGTTAACGCTAACAATTTACACTAAGGTAGATTAAGAACGATGTAATACATATCGTAATTTGCAAAGAGACTAGCCTTCCAGACATTGGTTGTTAACATTTTCCACATTTCTTTCGATTCTTTAAGAAGAAACGTGACAGGTGCCTCAGATTTCAATCATATGTACACACAAAAGGAATAACTATTTTAAGTAATCACAATAAAAAACAATATTAAAAAAGGTTAAGGCAAAAGAAATATTACGAGGTTTAAAGCCCGTGACCCCGGAACGGAGGTCAGGCGTCTCAGACTCAGTCCGAGAAACCGATTTGCAGTTTTATGTTCCTAACCATTACATCCTGGTAATGACCGTGAGGGTACATGTAAAATTTATTAACTATAAGGAATATAACTTTAATGGCCGCACAAAGCCGTCAAGTGCCCTTACATAGAATGAAATTCGTTTATTCGCAAAATTATCTGTGAAACATAATATTTCCAATGGACATATAAATTAAATGTTAAATTAAACTGGGCGCTATCGAAACAGAATCTGATCAGTTACATTCAAATAGTTTTAGGTCATTTATATTGCGCCTTACTTATATAGGATTCAACTTTGTCAGATATCTGCACCTAGTTTCAGTCTGTGTTCGAACTGGAGCCGCTTAGTATGATCAAAGATACATGTATACAACTTTACATAAAAACACAACTATGCATAAAAGAAACACTTAATCAAATTACATCGCATTTATACACTACATCCAGTGCAATGGTAACGCTCACGAATATTTTTTAAAATTTCTAACATGAATTACTTAGTCTTTCTAACTTCCTTCTAGACTTTCGTGTAGATATATTGACATCTTGCCACGTAATTGAGCGCTAGCTAAGAATTTATGACATAAAATAATGTAGGTAGGTAGTTTCACTTTAATGACAATTCAATTTTCAATTTAACAACCATGTAATATTTTGCCATACAAGTTAATCAATGAGTTCTTTGCGGTTTCCATCGCATCATTCTGGAATAAAGTTCTATACAAATTAGCGTACGTTGGCGTTGTTCACAACGTAAATACATGCCTATTAACTGGGCATGTATACATTACCTAACATCGCTTTTACATAATCCTTAAAGAATAAATTTCTAGAAAGGTCCTATGCTTGACATGGAGATCATTTCCATCTCCATTGTACGGTCAAAGAGGCGTCGGGAAACGAAATCCGAAAACCGGTTCGATAATGCAGAAATTCGCTGACAGAGTTATGATAGTATTGGCACTGGCTAGATGAGGGGGAGTAAAGAAAACAAGCGCACAGCAAGGACACTTACATTCTCTGACGTAGCTTTTGCTGTCATAGTAGCAGACGACTTTTCCTACTGGGGTCGGGGCGTTGGCAGCAGCTACCGTGACGGCGGCGGCGAAGGCGATGAGGGTCCGCATCTTGTATATGTGCTGTGACTTGACCGGTCACCACGGCGAGTGTGTGGCGAATGAGTACGGCGCGCGCGCTCGGCCAGACCGCCGTGCCACAACGCCAAAGAGTAGGAGAGGGCATTAAGATGACTATTAAGGCAACTACAAGCCGCGCCACCCGATTCCGTCCGTTAAATTCGTATCGCCGCTCTCACGATGTCTGTCGGTCAATTATAGCTGGTCAGATTGCTTACCGTTTGTGTGTCTACGGTAGTAAAAATAAAAAGCCCCATACATTCATGCCCGATGCATTCCTCGGTAACTGCCAAGAGCTTATTCAATTATATTATATTTATTTATTTATTTTATTTATACTTTATGCACAAACTGTACAGAGGTGGACTTAATGCCACAGGTATTACCTACCTTGGGGTGGTACAGAGAAGATTCGTTAGGTGCACAGAAAGATGTCAAAATAAATAAATAAAAATAAAACGTTGTTAAAAGATAAACTGTTATAAATAAATGTATATGCACATGTTAATTATAGTACAAATATAATAAATACTACCAGGTGTATGTAATACATACTAATACATACATATCGTACTAAATATATACATAAAATTATATATACATAGGTACATAAATATATATAAATACAAATAGCCGTGATAGCCCAGTGTCCGGGCGCTCACCTTTAATTCAATATACTCGAGCAACCTGAGTTCGATCCCCGGTGCCGGCACCAATGAAGTTTTTAACTTTAAGTGCTGACTTATCACGTGCTCCGCGGTGAAGGAAAACATCGTGAGGAAACCTGCATATTTTCAAAATAATAACAAAAAAAATTTCGAAGATATGTGAAGTCCGCCAATCCGCAGTGGGGCCGCGTGGTGGACTATGCCCTGATACCCTCTGTATAGAGGAGACCTTTGCCCAGCAGTGAGACATGTATAAGCTGTTACTTTACTTTTACAAATATACATATATATATAAATAAATTCTGACAATTAACGATGGAGTTGACCTGCCGACAAGTTTTTGACGATATGCTCACGTGCTTTTTTTTTAAATACAGAGCGGCTTTTAGCCAACCTGATTTTGAGAGGTAGCTCATTCCACAGAAGGATACACTGGATAAAGAAGGAAGAATGCATAAAGTCAGAACGGTGAGGAGGACGTACGAGAAGACGATTAAGCGAGGAGCGAAGGTCTTTGTTGCTAACAGCACATAGATATTGAAAATGATGGGATAAGTAATTCGGAAAAGGAGAAGAGTTCAGGTGGGAGTAAAGAGTAGTCAGTCCCCTTAGAGAGCGTCGTTGACGTATGGGTAGCCACTGAAGTTGAGCACGGTAAGGTCATACTTGCGAAGATTGAAAACGAATCGAATGCAGTTATTCAGAAGTCGGAAGTTTATTGAGTTGATCTGCATTCAGGTCGATATAGCACACGTCCCATAGTCGATTAAAGGGAATATTAAGGCCTACACGAGCAATTCCTTCGTTTTAGCCGGCAAGACATTTTTGAGCCGGTATAGATACCGTAGGACCTCTGAGACTTTTTGACAGACGCTTCCTACCTGAGAATTCCAGCTGAGCGTCATGTCGATGTGCAAACCGAGATTTTTCACATTACGACTGATAGGTATACGAGAACTGTTGAAAGTTATATGCGGGAGATTACTCAGGTCCACTTTACCTATGCTACGGGAGCTCCCAACTACGGTGGCTTGACACTTGGCTGGATTGACGATTAAACCAAACCTGTCTGACCACTTTTTAATAGCAGCTAAGTCCTGGTTTATATAGATGATACGCTCATTGAAGTTCGAGAGTGATGAAATTAATAAAAACAGAAAATAAAATAGGAGAAAGACCAATCCTCAATAGCGACTACCTCCTGGCGCCCTCGAAGATATGATGAAAATCATTCCAGTGCTTCCTCGGAAACCATTAAATCGGACGGGATTGCATATATATATATATATATATATATATATATATATATATATATATACTCCAGTGAGGAAAAGTTGGCTGATAATCCGCGACCTGTCAATTCATCTGAATCAACAGGTCGCAGACTATCAGTCAGTAACCAACGATAGTGCGCCAGCGACTTGAAACGCGCATTTTATGATATCAATTACATAGGTTATTTTACTTAAATTGTTAACAGCTGACATACATGCACTTATCGTCGTGACACCTGCACAGGTAATAGATGTAGTTCCTTGGAGCTCACCTTGCGATAAAGGAGCTTCGAATTACTTAGTGGCTCTATCTGATGATTTTGCGGTTTTATAAATTTCTCAACGATTACATTATTAATCTGAGACTGGATCATCACGTGTTATGTTTAAAACAATGCATAAGGTTTAAATACGTCAGAGGATAATCGTTATACAGAAAAAGAAGAGATGGCTATTTCCTTTGTTTGAAGAATGTATGTTATGTAATTCTCCCTGTCATCGAATTTTCATATACGTATGAACATGAATTATTATCATGTTTGTAAAGACAGACTTCTTAAGCTTCACCTTCTAATTTTATGAATACGGAGTATTTTAATTTTATTTAAATAACGAAATTATATTTATTTATATAGTTTTTAGGCAGTATTATAAAGTATCAACTTCTTAATCTATGATGGTTACACGGTGATGTCACCACTGGTTAGTTTAACGAAACCATTTCATACGACAACCTTTTTTTCTTCTTTTTAATATTGTTATTACTAAAAAAAGCAACGAATGCTTACTGATCATCCGTAATAAAAACAAGTTTTGTGTACCAACAAGTTTAAAATTGTATATTTATACAATGTCTTAAAGTCTTGTGTACGTTTAATTTGTATTACAATGTAGCGTATCTAAAGTAGTTACAAATATAAAGCTGCTAAACATTTTAAATAGAATTATTTTAAATAACAAAACTTTGCAACGAAGATATCCGCAGTAGAAAAAATAATAAAGGAATAGCTTAGAAAATAAGTAAGCTGAAGTGGCAATAGGTCGTCCATAAATAGCTTATAGAACCGATAACCTATGAGGACGAAAGTTTCTCGATTCGACCTCCACTAGATGGAGTGAAAACCTATGGAAGTGTGCCAGAAGATTTTTTTTTCTATGTGAAAAAGTGGAAAACGAGCTGGCGGTTCACCTGATGTTCAGTAATAACCGCCGCAGGATTGAAAATGTGTTGCTACCTTTAAATAAAGTGAGCCGAAGCTGCCTCATTCGCAAGATGATGATGGTCTTCTGTGAAGTCGTGGTAATTACCCGGACGGATCTGTCCAATCGTGCAACAGTGAGAAGTGTTGCGCGGCCCCACCACAGAATGTAGCTGGCTCAGGACCGTGCTTCGTGGCAGTCTATGGGTGAGGCCTTGATTTAACAGGGGACTCTGGCTGAAATGATGACGATGGTGATGAAATCTTCTTTACCATTTTGCCAAATAACAATTAAATTATACCCACTTGATCAATAAAGTGATCGATAATATTGTAATTCAATATAGTTTAATCCCTCAGTCTCAATAAGGAAACGAGAAATTGCAAACCATGGTCTCCAATTGTTTAATCGGAATAATTGCGTACAATAATTGCGATCAGGGAATGTATTGGCTTAGAACCTGCTGTTCTAATTGTTTGATGAGCCAATTTTGTTGTTAAAGATAAATTACGACGATACTGTTGATAATATTCCGTGTCTTTTGTGATTTACAAAACATATGGTTCTTATTATCTTGCTGTCCCTTGTCCTTTATTGATCGAATTTTTTTGCAAATCTATTTTATAAATAATATCATTTATATGACTAAATCTTACGTTTACGTGGCTGCCTGTATTATACAAGCAAATAAGCCCGCCCACAAAAAGTGCATCCCACACATTGGTACTAAATTACTTTAAAACGAAAAAGTTGTGAGCCTTTTGCCGCTACATTATAAATTGCATACCTACCTATGGGAACTAGAATTTATACATATTGTATTACATGTGACTTTTATTTGTGGGTAGATATATCATTATTAGAATTGAAAATATAACATTGATAAGTAAAAACTATCAAAATAATTGGTTTATTTAAAAATATTTAAAGTGAAGTAACAAAACATCGGTACGATAAATAAAACATGAACTCCCCTATGTCTTTTTTCCATCCACCGTTTATCTATTGCTTCGATTAAGCCCTTAGCTTTCAACATGTATATTTCGCAAGGTTTTTTACGTCGTATGATAAATATGTTCGTATTTTTGAATAGACGAATATTTATGTAGCTAAATATTTAAACATGATCCCATGTTTATTTAACGAATATTTGTGTAAATGTTTAAACACTTGTCCATCACGCTGATATGATAAGTATATAAGAAAGGTAATATCACTCATGTGTTAATATATTACAGAAGATTACCATACCATAGATTCTTTATTCCAAGGCTAAACAACAAGATCAATACATCACACCTGTAACTAAGAAATCAATTAGCGAAATGATACTGGATTTTTTCATTACGTTGCAAGTATATACAATGAGGCGATAAAGACTATTTCGATACTGATTCTTCTCACTGATACTGATACTGACATTTAAATCCCTTACTTCACTACAATTCTCTAACTTCTAGACTGTAAGACTTTGTATTATATTTTGTGGCAGGATCTACCACTGTTGGCCTTAGGGGCCTGTACAGATCCACCGGACTTGAGGTGGCAGGGCATTCGGGGCGCCTAGCCTGAACCACGGGGGACCCTGTTAGTGCATAGGTGGAGCATATAAAATTGAATTCCAGTTGATGATCCTCATAATAGCTCTGATTCACACATGAATACGCTCGCTTTACGCTGAAAGTAATACGTCTTCGCTTAGAACAACTAAATAAAAAAATAATTAAGCTTTTGCGTTTCTGCCATACATTGCATTGTTCTAGGTTGTTGTTCTAGTAGCCCGTAGCCGTCGGTTAGAAGCTTATTTTATGTAAAAAGATGACATGCGAGCTGGCCATTTATTTGATGT